GTAGGCTTTCGAGCCTATACAGCTTGGAGTAAGACAACATGCATGAAGAGGATGATGTGGACAAAATACTCATTTGCCTAATAATTCTGCACTCCCTGTAAATAAAACTGAAGTGAATCTAAGCTAGCAAACATTTAATTTAACTGACAAATTTCCTTCAACACAAGAAAGAGTCGAAGATGCCTACACATGGAAGCAAAGCATGGACAATGAACTAGAAAGCTATTGAGATTATCAATCCAGCAGAGACGTGAATATCATAGACCTGAACTGATTAATGAAGAAGTCTTTAAAAAAGCAAACACCAAAAGATCACTATGTAAGAACATCAGAGACAAGCAAGAGAAGCAAGATTCTTTGGACACACTATGAGAACAGGAGGACTGGAATGTGATATAACATCTGGAAAAATTTGAAGGGAAAAGAAGCAGCAGACGAAAAACCATCAGTCTGGACGAAGAAAACACAGAATGAGCTGCTGCACTGTGTGAAAGATAGGGCATCTTGAAGGACCATGATCTGTTTCCATTGTGCAAAGCAGTTAAGAAGATAGTTCACTCTTCACAACAAAGCGTTTTGATGAAAAGTAAAATGGTAAATGGGCTGTATTTGTATAGCGCTTTTACTAGTCCCTAAGGACCCCAAAGCGCTTTACACGTCCAGTCATCCACCCATTCACACACACATTCACACACTGGTGATGGCAAGCTACGTTGTAGTAGAAGTACAAGTAGTAAAAGTAGTTAACATTAGCTGCAAAAGAAACCCCCTGACCCCCATTATGATGACATGCTGAGGAACTATAGATCTTTCTATTCAAAGATGATACTTAGTATTTCTTTCACAACTGAAAATATCAGTATATAATAAATGCCTGCTTTCATCTCAACACAACTGTGGGATTCTGCTACTTTAGTTCTGTTATGTAGGTAAAAAACTTTTGCAAGAATATTTTAATAGCATGCTTTTTATGGTTTTATTTAAGAAATGATGCATCTACTTATTCCAGCTCTGCATGTCTTGCAATTAGACCTAAATAATTCTCCTCACATTGATTAAGCGTACTACATTTTAACATAAAATGTGGCTCTAATGTGCTGTAATTTCTCAGAACTTTACTGTTAAAAACAACAACAACAGATGTTTTCAGATGTTTGAACGGCAAAAATGAAATCATTCTGGGGTGGGTTTAATCCTATTTCTGTCTTCCTTTCACTCTCTACTGATTCATGTAAAGTCTCTGCATGACTCACTGGAGATCTCAGTCACACATGACTATCCATCACAGCTCTGCAGTGACTCTGTGTGTGACGATAACAATGCCAAACCAACCGTAACGGCAGTTTAGCAGCAGTCACAATAACAACAACAGCAGCAAAAATGCCAGCAGAGAGATTAGAGTATAAAAGATTCCTGATCCAGGAAGAGCCTGAGTCAGTGTGTGCACCTGCAGTGTGATGGGTTGTTAATATTGAGACCATTCTTTAAGTTAATATTAAAAAGGCCTTTAAACTCAGAGTTTATATGGAAATGTTGCACCCTAGAGGAAGTCAGGATTCACTGCAGAGATGATTTCTGTTACAGGTTTTTATTTTTTAAGATTCAGGTGAGTGGAATAAAATGACTTCCAATCGAAAATGTCCAGATTTCATACTTGGAAAAAGCCCAGCTTGGAAAAACATGTTCTAGGCAAAACTTTTCACTCAAGAAATATCAAAGGAGATTTGTAGGTGTTTGCTTTGACAGCTGACAGCAGGTGGTTTCAGAGTCTACTGAAGGCTCTACTGAGGTTTTGATATCTGTGCATGTGACACAGAGTCGACTATATGGACACGGCAGGCTCTTCACATCAGCCTGCTGAGTTTGCTCGTCTCTTTGTCAAGTCTGCGCTGCTGCTGCTGCTGCTGCTGCTATCATCAGCAGAAACACACGCACACATGTTCATATATCCCTGTCCCATCTTACATTCAGACCTCAACAAATCAACTCTGATCAGAAATAAGTTCACAGAAATGGACCTACTGCGGTATTATGTGTAAAAAGTGCACACGTATCTTGCTTTTGCTCTGTTATAAGCTTAATCAGGAAATTACATGGGCGGGCACA